GACCTTTATCCCAGAATGCCTTGGAAAACACACTGCAGCGTTCGATAAGCCTCATTTTGAGGCTTCCCTTGAGTGTAACACTGGTGTGTTCAGGGAAGCTAATCGAACGCACCCATAGTTGCATATTCAAATCTCACAATACCAGGGTTAAGATCGTGTAAGGCATTGTAGAAAAAAGATCACATCCACAGGAACAAGGTTGGTATACTTTACTTGGTATACATCATTCCAGCGCGTCAATGAGGGAACCACACTTTCGGGTGTGGGGGGAGGGAACACACATAAACGTATTTCTAAATGGCCCAATTATGTTGGATAATATTGAATAGCGTTTGTGCATTCCAAATTTGATGGTCGCGTTTTGCCAAAGCAGAAGGTATAATGTCATCCCCTGCCAAAAAAGTAACCGTGCATGAAATTACATCCTTACTGTCCATTTCTTCGTTTCAGGGCCGTGCTATGGAAATCCAGCGCCAGCAAGAAGAACGTCAGGTAAAGAGCTTTATAATTCTATTTAGGTCTAAATCAAATTTCTAAAACAACAACAAAAGATTTGAGTTTACAAAAATCAGAGCCTTTTTTTACCATCTGGTTTGCCAGTCGGTCATTCCATTAGCAGGTCATTTTAATTTGCGGCATTGGAAAATTCGAAAGGGTGTGTTATTCACGTAGAAAATATTGGTATGTCAGCAGATTGGCTGAAGGGTTTGCTGGTCGATTTACCGATTACCCATGCATTTATGGATTGTTTGTCGGCCAGATGGTCAGTAGGATTTAAGGTTTAGTCTTATGATGAGTTGTTGCTCCATTCGAGGGATCAGATCAGTGGGACAGGTCTACACATCCCGTTCGAACTCTCGTTAATATCAACACATTTTTTGAGGACTTATTGGTTTAGAATGTATGTTTTCGTATTCATCAAGGAGATAATCCCTCGGCTCTAATGCTCATTGATATCTGTTCTTCGAGAAATCTGATTTAACATGTGCATGTTCAAACCCATGAATCTGTTAGTTCATGTACTCTTGATTTGATCATAAACGAGATGATGATAAATTCCACCGCATTACCTTTGTTGAGGGTTACTTGTATGAGAGTTTTTTGTCACTGCAGGCTGAGTAGTTGTGTCAGACATGTTGACATGAAGACAAGAACCTTTAGATCTCACTGGAAGATCGATAAGGCAGTATTTGTGAATGATATACGTTTATCAAACTATCTGACCGATGTTAATCCGCTAGTTTGCCTTGATCTTGATGGGATAATGGGTTTGTATGATTCAGTATTAAGAGGCAGCTTTCTAGTCCAAGAATCTGCTATTCGGCCAAAGCTTCCTTTCATAGCCATTGCTAGTTGATGGAAAGTCACTCGACGATTTGGTGGGTCGTTAGATGGTTTGGTCAGTGGACAGGCTTTTTGCTGTTGGGCCAATGGTTGGTCAGTCGTGTTGATGGAGGGCTGACAATTAGGATTCGGTCACTCGGGGACACTGGTGTGCCGAATTGTCAGTCCGTTTGATAATAATTTTCGGTTGGTCAGAAATGGACAGCCAGCGTTGTAACTTGAGCAGTAGTAATGTGTATGTGAAATATCTTCCTTTCTTTTAGTGCCCTGTGTCAGCGGCCCACTTGGCATGGAAAGTGGAGCCATTCCGGACGCCTCGATAACTGCATCATCTAGTTGGAGTGGTTATCCTCCAAGCAATGCAAGACTGAATGTCGGTAAGCACGCAGGCTTTCATCTCATGGTGGTCTGTCTCACTTCAACCATTCTCGTACCATTTTGTCCATAAGATTCCCCTTACAAAACCATTAAATGAAAATTCGTCAAAGGGGAAAGGGTTAGGTGTGTTAAAGCGCAATATCACTGTAACAGTACACAGTTGTCATGTAAACGCTTGGGCGCCGCTTATATAGTCTCTCTCTCCAGTCTTGTTCACAAAGCCACCGAAGAAAGAGGTGGGGCTAGGTAATATACCGAAATCCGGGAAACCGATGCCTTGCTCTGAGTTTTACTCATGTTATACCGACAGAGGTAGGCCTATGTATCTCTCTTTCTGTCCTATACGCATCTAATCTGCCGTGCTTTTCTCTTGCCTTGAAGTTTCCAAATGTACACATATACACTGTCTGCATGAATTTGTCATTACACGAACAGGCACTGAGGGATGGTTGCCAAGTACTCCAGCTAACCAGTGGATCCAGGTCGATCTTGGTGGGCACGTAGCCGTCACTGGGATCGTGATACAGGGAAAGCCAGGATCCGATTGGCACGTTACTTCATTCACTGTGCAAACCAGAGTGAATGGGTCAGATTGGCAGGACGTCGTTGACACCAACGGAACTGCTGTTCGGGTAAGTCTGATGAAACACACGGAATTGACTATTCCTGCAGTTAACGAGCAGATGGGTGACTGTAATTCCTAAACCATATTTAATTTCGTAATTTGCAATCAGACGTAAGTATGACGTAAAAATAAAAACAAAATATGTTTTCTGTATGAATCACGAGGAACATGACCATTCACGTCAATGAGACAGTTAATGCAGTACTTTCTATATTTTTCCGTGAGAGTACATCAATAGAAATGTGCCGGTAATGTTGGCCATAAATTTTATCGTTCGGAAATATGCGACACGGTAAGAAAGGAAAACGCATTATTACTAGAACCAACACAAAAACAACAGAGAGAGTAACAACAATGGACAGACAACAGAAAAGATGACAGTCCAAGCAAAGTTGATCACCAAACTAGTACAAAAACACGGGATTATGTGGATGTGCAGCGGCATAAACCTGTGTCAGCAATTGAGGGGGGGATAGGGGATGGTTAAAAGGTTGGGGGTGACATGAAATTTGAAAAGTGGGGGTGACACAATATGACCCTATGTCAATGTTTATGATATTAATGTACATCTGTAATATCTGCATCCAGAATGGCATATTTATGGCTTCTTAAATTGTTTATCCTTTTTTGGAGTGATATTGAATGCATTTTAGTCGTTGGAGGGGATATATCGCCCCATCCCCTCGGGATTTATGCCCATGTGGATGTGCACTTCCCATGAATTTCAATGTTGAAAAAGTGCACCTTTAAATTTGGCGCTTCCTGTTCGTTAAAGGATGTTTCACTCTTTAATATCTGCAATTTTTTCAGCAAGAGCTTCCAGTGGTGTCTAAGAAACAGAGTAGGGAAATGTGTAGACTTGCAATGGGAACTAGACCAATTTCCGATTTGTTTTGTATGCATCGTATTAGGTCATTCGGGTGACAAAAGCAGTATCCGTAATGAGCAGAAACACCCCTCGCCGCGTGGTTGGAAGTGTTCATTTTATTGGCAGCGACACGACTGCAACAAATGCATCTCATAGTTTTTCCAGTGAACCAGTGAAGTGCAGTGCCAACCAAATAAGCAGGTTCCGTTCCAAGGAAAGTGACGCCCTCTGTTGGTCCCGGTCGGGGCCCATACAAATGCTAACCCTTAAATAGTTTCTTTTGGTGGGAGGTATGCCATTTGAAGTTTGAACACTGTTAATAAAGCACTGTCCATTGTCACTATAAACCGGTTCCAGTTTCGTGCAGAAAGCGAAGAATCCAAAAATCTGACGTTCCCCGTGGTACCGATGGCAAGATATCTTCGTATATTACCTCAGACCTGGACTCATCAGTATTACAGAGTGAAATTTGAAGTGCTGGGGTGTCCAGGTAATACATGCTTACTAATGTCAAATGATATATTGTCAGCAAATAATTATGATTTAAAACACTCATACTTTAAAAGAATACCGTAAACCATCCATTTCGTTTTACTTTTTTTTTCTTTTTTTTCTTTTCGTTTTGTTTGTGATTTGATTTGTTGTGGTGGTCGTTTGGTTTTTTGTTTTATTACGTTTTCTTTTGAATATCATTTGCAAACAAAGTCACACATATGTCAGTAGGTCAAAGCTGATAAGAGCTGTTTTTAAGGCCCCATTTCGGAGGAAGAGGGCCATAATTGTTTTGGGAAGGGCCAAACTTGGAAATGTCTTGACGTAACCTTGATGTACACGTTAATTAATGAAGTGAGGCGCTTATGTTTTGGTGCTTATGCTAGCGAAAGGAAGTGAAATCGACTTCCTCTTATCGCATTTAAATAAAGCTCGGGAAGGGATAGTTTGATCCACAGATCCACAAATGATGTTGCCAGGTTCTGTCACTATAGCTGAATACTTGGCATTAAAACAGGAGGCCCGGGATTCAAACTTTAAATGAGTGGCAAATCGTGCTCGTTCTAAACCTAAACTATCTGTACGGGTGTACAATTACTTTCCTGCATCAGTGAAGCTGAAAATAAAAGCTACTCAGTTGGTCATAGAGCTCAAAGAACTACTGACCGTGACAAATAACGTAATTGTCAAGATTACTTTTTCTGAACGATGGAGTGTGACCGTTATCGTGCGTTTCATAGTTATATCTGCAGTCTCAGATGGAAAACTTACGTGGCCTACTTCATTTGTCTTTGTACAGTATCAAATGGAATGCTTTGGCTAGTGGACGGTGATGACGCCCTCAGCGGCCGTGTGGAAATCTACCACGAGTCCACAGCCACCTGGGGCGCCGTTAGTTCCAACGGCTGGGATCTAAGCGACGCCAATATCGCCTGCCGCCAACACCACCCTTTCCTAGAGGCAGTTCAAGCTGGGGCGAGCTCGGCAGGGACCGACCTCCCGATCGTCATGAACGGAGTCGCCTGTAGAGGCACGGAGAATCGCCTGGTGGACTGCCCGTTCGTCTGCAACGAATATCAGCCGCGTAGCAGCTCTCGTGTCGCCACGGTGGTTTGCCGACCCGATGTTACGAGTACGTTTTCACAGTTAAAGACAATCACACTCTGGCATGTAAAACAACATCAGGAATAAAGAGCCGGATCATGGTCTTGAGAGGGGGTCCACTGACAACGGAACTACCTCAGTAAAGAGCCAGTACTTTAATTATTCTCACGGACAGTGTACAGGTGCAGATCTTCCTCTTAATCCTTCCCACCTCCGACATTGTCGTATGAAAGCCTGGCTCAACTTCCTCTCTGGAGCCAGATCTTCCCCTTTCTTTATTTCCAGTCGGGGGCAGTTTGACTATAGACCATTAGACTATCTGTAGGTCTTCATTTGGGTATCCTCATTCCTCATGCAAAACATTTGTTTCCTTTGTATCCCCTCATCATTTTCATCAACTTAATCTTTTCTCGTATTTTCATCGTTCTAGTCATTCGCTACCGTAACTTTTGCTTTTAACTGTTGTCCGGCACTGTATTATTGAACTTCGTTGTCATTCTACCCTTTGTCGCAGATATGGCTAAAAGTATGACAATTGACAACGTAATCGCAATGACATTTATGACTAAATGTTTGACTTATGAAATCTGTTCCCAAGTAATATAACGCCGGTAATGAAAACAGTGTGCAACAGCTTGATGAGAGGACTATCAAGAAAAGTATTCTCATCTAAAGGCATAAGAAAACTTTGTGAAAATGGTCAAGGTGAGAGTATAAACTTGGCGGTTCTGGCAGTCTGATTCAAACAAGATGGAAGACTATCAAAGTACTGAAACTGGACATATACCAACACTAAATATTGATACTGTTTTATCTCAAACGAGGCCAGGAATAATTTTGAAAATGTTATTTTCTTGGTTATGTTTGCCAAAGAATTTTCAGTGTTCCACTCGCATCTTTTGGACTGTCATGTGATTAAGCCAATTGCAGATTATCGTATTCACTTTAACCTCATCAGAAATCGTTCGCTTGGCGGGAGGGTCTGTTAACCATCGCGGTCGCGTGGAGGTGTACCGTAACAACACCTGGGGAAGCATTTGTGACAATGACTGGGACATCAACGACGCTGCTGTGGTCTGTCGTATGCTGGGCTTCCCCGGTGCAGAGGCCGCCAAATCCGGTGCTTACTTCGGTCAGGGCAGTGGTCCAGTCCACATGGACGGTGTGGCGTGCACTGGATCAGAGGGTAGCATCTTAGACTGCCCGTCTTCGTGCTGGGAGGAGCCCCAATGCAGCCACAGTCAAGATGCCGGTGTCATTTGTGAATGGGGTAAGAATGATCCGCCTTGAGCAGAAGCACCCCCTCATCGGTTGAAAAGAGCCATATGTTGGTCAGGAGTGTTCATTTTGTTGGTAGGGATGCAACTACAAGACTTGCGATTCATAGTCGTTTGTGAACCATCGATGCGCAGTTAACAAAAGAAGCTAAGAAACATTAAAATATTAAATCAAAGCAGCGGGGTTTATAGATTTTTAATTGTTCTCTCTGTCTGGGAAAAATTCTTTAAAATTGCACTTCTTCCCTTTCCATGAAAAGTGACGGGGGGTTCAATAGCCCATGCCCACCCTGGTAAAGAACAGGAAGACGAACCCCTATACCCCGCAACTTGCGCCCACCATGCAGCATAGGCCTAATAGTTTCTTTTCGAAGCCGTTAGCCTGTGGAACCGACTTTTACTTAGACGATCATACAGCTGCGTTGGGAAGTGTAAGAAAGTTAACTGAAACACATTGCCAAAACTGTATTTTTTTAAAAGTGCTACTGCTATCAACACTGGCAGCTGGGGTCATGTCCACTTGACTTTCCTACTGGCTTGTTGTTGGACAGGAGTCTGTGATAGTGGTTGAAGCATGCACCCGTAATGGGTGGTGTATTTAAAGGAACCAGGAAATAGAAATATTGTGATAAATGTCACTAAAAACCCTTGAAATTGCATCTTTGGGTTTCAATTAACCTGATTTTAAATTTTTGTTTTGCAATTTTAACCCATATTTTGATGCTTTTTAGGTTTTTATGCTAATATATTTGCATATTCATGAGCATATGATATCATCCAAGGCACTGAATCTCAATGTTACACTATTTGTGCACAGAAAATTTCTGGAATTTTTTAACCACTGCTATGGGAGATTTCATTTTCTTTGGCAATTTACGGCTGTGTAAGTATTTGGCAATAATCCAGCAAAAATCCTTTTCACAGAAATGTGCCCAGATAGCAAATTTGGGGTTCAAAATTTGAACATGAAAACATGCGACTTGAACCATGTCTTCTTGGATTTACTTCAAAGCAAATGCGCCCTCACTTGTCCAGAAATGCTTGGTCAATGTTTAATGTATGAAAAAGTGCACCGTTCAGTTCACGTAGCTCATAAAAGATGTCAACCAGTCTTCATACATGGAAGAAGAGTACAGAGATACACAAAAAGTGATTCTAAGAAAAAGTCATTTCCTGGATCCTTTAAGCCGGAGCAAAATGTTTCAGACGCAGCTTTTATAAGGACACCCCCTGTCTACTTTTCAGCCCCAGCAATTTTCCTCCAAAATTCAGATGTTCTTATGCACTCAGAGAGTAGTCATTGAGTCAAGGAACTTTTCTCCTCACAATTTTTATCACAAAAAGCCAGCTTAACTTCTCTATCTCTTCTAATTTTATTTCTGGTGCTTTGTTGGTAAATCGTTTCAGATTAAAAGTCGATGCAGATCATCTGTGAGTTCAACCCCCAGTTCAACGCAGAAATGTTCTAGAGCTGACGAAGTCTACATTTTAGGCTGCATAATTATTTCATCTAAAATGGAAATATATGCCACTTTTTAAATATCCACTAGATTTAGAGCATGCATATTTAGTGTAACCTTCACACCGATACCGAGTTAGAAATTGGCTTAAAGATTCCAACATCGCTTAGGTAAAATTTCGGCTAGTTTAGTGATCTTTTGGCGATTAGTACTAACTGCAATGTTTATGACGATCTGTTGCCTAACTGTACAAGGAGGTGCATCCCCCTCGAAGGTCCGTCCTCCCATGAGGGGAGGGGCGACACCATATACACGATATGGGGGCGATGTTCATGAATATGATTTACATCTGTAATGTGTATCAAATTCATGCAGAATCTTACATCAGAATGTAGTTATGTTTTTTTAAATTACTTTCCCTTTTTATTGCAAATATTTTAGTCGTTGGGAGATTCTGAAAATTCTTCACAATTCGATTTAAGTTTTGTGCTCATCACAAAAAGTGGGGGGATGATTCAATAGCTCCCCCCCCCAAAAAAGTGGAGGGTACCTGTATATACCCCAACCCCCACCCCATTTATGCCCATGCCCCGTTCTCGAGTTGAGCGACGACAGTTAACGAATTTGTTAGAATAAAAACGCATAAACTATAGACAATACAAAAGTTTTATTTAAAAAAGGAGGAATTCCGTTTGTTTCTTCTTGACACGGGACTAATAGCATTTTCTGCACAAATAAATTCATTTTAATTTTTTCATGCATTATATGTCATAAAGGTGAATTGGGTCACACCATTCATATAATGTGAATCGCTGACTCCTGAAAACTTGTTATCGTTTGACTTGTGCATAAGAAAAGAGTTCTCTTTTTTGAAACATTCATTTTATCCTCCAATCCTACCAAATTTTTTGATGTTTGTCGTTAAACAGATAAGAAAACAGCCTTAAGAATTTCTGATATAGTGAAAATAACAATGTCAAATTTGCAAAAGAATGTGAACGCAAGAAGTCTATACATGAATCTATGGACCACGGTTTCTACAACAGAAAACAAACTAGCTTCAATTCGGCCACTTGAAAGATGAAAATAAATACTACTGTTTGGAGTTTCGACCTACATTAAAACTACAACAAAACCACTGGAACATAAGATTATTGACAGACACTCTCCAAAGTAAATAGCGAAAATCCTTCCACTAAACGCAGGTCACCTTCTAATTGGGGTCACCAGTACCGCCAGCCGGCGCGATTTTGACGGACACGCTTGGCGCTAGTGTTGACGCGCGCATATGGAAAGGTCCCTTTAGCGTGGCCGTGTGCCGACTCGCACACGTACGTGCTTTGCGGGTCACGCCGGTCGTATAGTACCTACCATCTGTTTAGATTACAGCCATATACTTCATATTTTCATTTGAAGCAGCCAAGAATGGTATTTTTGTATATTACAATCACATGAAATGTTTCAGATATAATAAAATGGTTTTATAAACGCGCTTCTACAATTGCATGATTTTCGCCTTTGATGAAACGCCCACAACAGAAGCACTCAACTGGATTGGTACACATGGGACTGATGCATATAAACCAAAAGTATTCTAGAACAAACCATGAAACAATTTCCTCTGTTTTCAAAATCTTTTCAGTTCCGGAATTATTTGGATTATGAGGTTTAAGGACAGTCAATCCACAAGAATAAAGCCGCACAGAACAGAAATGCAGGCCTTTATACATGTATCCAGTTTAATGCAGGACAACCGTGTATAGTTATGTTAGCTTAATTATTGAAAAAATACTATTTCCTCAACACGCACAAAAATTATGAGGCTCTGAATTAAAGGTTGATAGATAGCATCGAAAGCATGTCACTTCGACCACCATGGCCAGTTATGTTCACCACCGTCCTGATCATATCACCACGGTATTTCAGCAAGGAGTAAGCGAGACATGTTTCTCAAGTGTTGCTAATCTTCCAGCAAGCGATATCCCATTTGGATCATCATGTTTCGACAGTACCCCACCTGCTCAATCACCTTTATTGGCACCCTTAAATGGTATTGTTTGACGCCAGGCACGGTAAGTCTCGTACCGTTGCACCAGTCACGGTAGTGCTACCGGCGGGGCGGGGCACAGGAGAGATTATTCTAGTGTAAGGCCGGGGCCTGGTCTTGCAAGTCCACCCAGATGGAATCTGCCCAATCTCGATTGCAACCGTGATCACTGCAATCCAGAAAAATGGAAGAGAAACTCAGCCCTATAAGCAGGGATTGCCAGTGTATCGGTACCCTGCTCATGTCGACAAACCTCAGCTTCGGTCCCCCAACAAAAAGCCAAAATCTGACGCGAACATGACCGATCACTAAAGTCCCATCGTGAATGTGCATGCTCCCTTGTTTACATAAGATCGTCAACTTTCAGTGCGTTAGGTGTATATGTTATGTAACTGGAGAAGGAAGTGGTTTTTGTTTACTCCGGGGTTACGGTTTCGTTCAGTACCGGAAATTTGCCTTCATTATTATACATTTTCGTAATTAGGATCCTCAAGGCGTTTTTGTAATGTGTAAAGCAATAGACGAAGCGTGATGGAAGAATCATTAATGTGCAATCAAGTGAGCTCCGTACGAGTTAAAAATGTAATTGGCACCCGATTATTTGAACCAAAAAGAAAACTTCTGAGTATCAATTCAAGCATGGAGGAAAGAATAGTTCAAGAAGACAAAGATTAGACGAGTTAAGTGGGACCCCTCCGGTCAAAGCTGTTATTCACATTCACGGACGCAGTGGCGTACTTTGTGGGGGAATGTAAGGGGTGGGTGGGGAGTAGGGACGGTGGAGGCTGACTTGCCAATTGGATGAAAATGTGAAAGGGGGTGCTGACACCATCGTAGGGGGCGATGTTCATGATATATACACGTGTACTTTTGGGATCTGTTTTTGCATTCATTAAGAATAATTACATCAGAATTGCATATATTTTTATCGTTAGTTTCCTATTTTGAATGATATTGGATACATTTTAAGTAACATTCGAAGGAAGATTCGAAGTTTGCATGGTGGAAGTTACACGAGCTTTAGGATTGCGGGTACACCATGGAAACTAAACTAATTGTATTATTACAATTACTGTGTATTACCAAAAGATAACACCTGCCGTCTCTAGTATATACTTCGGTCTAATTGATACAAAAGCACAACGGTTTTCCCTGTTTTTTTCTCTTTCTTGACAAAAAACTGCAGTATTAATAATTCGCATAAATTGTATCTATTGATCTAACGCCTCTCGGTTTATTTACTTTTGAAAGTTAGAAACAAACACACACACATGGTTGTTTAACTTAATGTACTTCACATGTGAAAGGTTTGTTCAGTGTTGCTTTTATTATTAATAATTATAATGTATAAGAACGTCGAACAAAATGTACAAGCGGACAAAAGCACAGAGATATCGTGATATCTGCAGTGACGCAAATTTCTCCTTCGGTTTTTTTTCTTCTTCTTTTTTCGTTCTTTTTTTTTCTTTTTTCTTGTCAATACAATTCTGCTGATTCATCTAATTGAATATGATTGGCACTATAAACAGCTCTGGACGAGCGAGCTAAACCCCTCAAGGGTGCATTCCACTAAATGGCTAGATATCCGACTCCCGAGCTCATGCATATTTTGTGATATGATCCAAATGTTATTTACAGTAGGCGGTGCGTAATCCTCGTGACCGATCATACAGATAAGTCACGGATTGGGGACTTAATTGTGGCTTCCAACTCGGGTATTTCGTTCACAAAAAACCTCCAACCTGTGTGGCTTTCAGGGTCGGATCCAAGAATTTTTCCAGGGGGGGAGACAGGTTGGGATTTTTTTTTCAGTGTCTCATTTTTGCGCACACGCGGAAACGATGATGAAACATTACATGACATAAATCATTTACAATGATACTTGTGCAGCCACTTCAGTTATTTTTAATTATTTTCCATTTTTAAAATACTTTTTGTCTCAGACCCGGGGGTTCGAACCCATACCCCGGATCGGAGCCTAGCTAATTTGCATAGAGATGAGCGGCTACATTGAAAGCTGAGCGCATCGTTTTACTACTAAAAAAAGACTGGAGTTCTGGCCATGCCCATAATTCTACATCTACAGTGAGGTACTCCAGCAAAGCTCATCTGCATCCCACTAGAGTAGGCCTAGGCGTGTCGCAGACCTACAAAATCTAAATTTGGTGATGCCCTTGAAAGATATGATATTCAGCAGCCGGATCTCGTTGGGTTATGTTGACAATCGTTTCAGGCAGCGCCTTGAATTATTCCAATGCGGTATGACTGATGGGAAGAAAAAAATAATTATGATACTGTGATACATGTAGTTCTGTATTGGTCATACTTGAATTTTAAGTGAACTACGCAAGGCCATATTCTTCCTGAGGTCACCAGGCGGCGCCCTTTCTGACTGATTTTGCACTGTTTTGTATGAGCGCGTATTTAGTGTAGTTCAACCATAGCTGGCATACATCACGGACCATCTGCATGTACAAAACAGGTACGATTTGTGCATGTCTGGGAGTCAAGAACAGATGTACATGTACGTTATGTCGTGTATGTGCAGATGTCAGGAAGTCGAGTGCAACCCCCTCCCCCTCTGCTCAGCGGAGAAAAGACACGTTGCATGGACGAACAATCGCATGCCTTACTATCCTTTTATCAAAGCGTTAACTGTACGCGTAACTGTGACTGTATTGCATTTAGCCTTGTAGGGTGATCTTTTTCTGTTCCAGTCCCCATATTCGCCTTGTGTGGAAGGCTAGTGGTTGCGAGACCCATGCGAGAACAGAATGGCGGAACCTATTGAATTGAAGATGGAGAGTGACATTAAAAAACCAGATACCAATGAAATAAACATAGTTAAACCAGTAAGTATCATCTTTTTCACCGAATTTACCCACGAAAATTTAATTGACTCCATTTTTTTCGATAAATAAATGCAGTTTGATTTAAAGAGGAACGTTTAAGATTTGCTCTCCATCTGCCCATTTTCCGGACATACCACCCGGTCTAGAAACATTGTCTAACAATGAACATATAGGCCTAACGTTAGTTCGTAAAAAAATATAGCCCTAGAAAGTAGGACTACCCCAGCGTGGCACAATTCCTGCATTTCAACTTCCACTTGACATGCTTGATATCCCCTTATAGGCCTATTTGGTGTTTTCAGACCTCTCGTTTAAAAGCATTTAATTCATTTGGGTGTTGAACCCGTCCTTTGCAAACAATTTAATTTGGTGTCATGAAATTTCATCCAAAATTTAACAAACACAGTGAAAGATGGTGTGGGCACATCATGCACATGCTGGAAATTGAGCAGGAATTCAGCTGAGTGTTATCTACCATGGCAGACTTGATAAAAATCTCAGAAAATCCCACATATATGTACATGTAGGCTAGTGTAGGCTAGGCCCTAAACATGCTAAACATGCTAAACATGAACCCTCCTACATATTATGCAAACATTGGCAAAGATGCAATCTGATCACATGATATCTACATGTACATGTATGCACTGCAAACATCGCAAAGGGAAAAGTGGAAGGAATTTTTGACTGGTTGTGACTGTTACAGCAGAAGGAGGGTGAATGAAGTTCTGTAGAATTGTCCAATTCTAGTAAACTATTACAACTGTCGTACATCAGGCTACATATTACATGTACATGTACCTAACCACACATTCACCCCACATTTGTTTGAAAATTGTTTTCATGTTTTTGGACTTATTTGAAAGTCCATTTTCCACTTCAGAAAAAAAAATTGGAAAATTGATCCAAACAAAATTTCATCAGAACCTTGTAGTGGGTGAGTAAATTTCAGATTTTTGAATTGGAATATTGAGATTTTGATGAATTTTCACTTAAGATAAAATTTGACTCAGGTAAAAATATATAAGACACTGGATCCATGCAGAAATATCAAAGTGTGTCACATTTGGGGTCGCCTCACCTCAGGATATATTAAAGTGTAGCTGCAATGAGTTTTTCTTCGAGACGATTTTTCTGGATCTTTGAACTCAAACTCCTCTTCAATGTACATGTACGGAAACTATTTAGCACATGTTTGGTTAAATGCACTGAAAATTGCATGCTTTGAAACAATTAAAATTGTCCATGCTTTTCCGGACAACTGAGGGTGCTGTTGCTGTTAAATCATCGAGGGAAGCCATGGTTTAATGCATAGGTACTCTGTTCATATTGTGAACCCAAGAATTTACTAACTGGAAACATTTCTGAGAGAGGGATTGATGGTTTCATATTAGTATGCACATAAACAACAATGAATCAGCAAAGAAGAGAAAACTTAGACCAGGAAAACCTACAAAAACGCAGGACTTTTTTGTGTTCAAACCAATGTAACATTGAGGCTTCTTCCTGAGATGGCATCACAGTTTTGCTCATGAATATGGAAATGCTCATTAGGCCAAAAAAAAAAGTTTTGGGTTTCTGGTCAGGAACTGGCTCCCAAAGCGGTGCGGCAATGCGGCTTTTTTTTACCCTCATTTGGTTTTTTTGGGGGGGGAAATGATTTATGTGTAACATGCGATGTCCATCTCGACTGCAGGCACACGTCACACCATCCGCTACCTGCACTAAAATACATGTAGACTGGCCCACACTTTTTTACTGTTTAAAAGCATTTTCAGTTTGTAAATGTACACAAGACATAAGACCACCTCGTTTGTCTGGTTCCCAGATATAAATGTATAATTCAGAAATGATGTCATCTAGTAGATGTACATGTAGATGATCTACATGTACATGTATAAAAGAGTGCCCGACTAAATTTATGGGGGACTGGAGGGACTCTTTTATTTGACGTACATGTATGTACTACTCAACCATATCCCATCAAAAGCATGTTAAAATTATGCAGTTAGCAGGATTCCAGTCTATTAAGCAACTTTGGAGCTTGGGGACATTGTTTTATACCAAATAAAAACTTTTTTTTTGCTGACGTGCAGGTCTACGGTGATGCGTGCTGACCAGAAACCGGAAATTTGGGGGGGAGTTAGCATAAAAACCAAAAAGACATTATAATACCCTTTGAAACAGTGAAACCAAAGTTGAAAATTAGGTTCACCGAGGCCCAAAAGTTCACTCTTCAGGTTTTTAATTGAAAACATTGATTGTAGCTACCCTTTAAGAGTAGGCCTATCACTGGACACATCACAGGTTGGCACATGTACGTGTACATGTTCTCTTTTTTGTGAAATTTACATGTGACACTGGTCAGGCAGTAGGCCGATAAATACATGTACTTAATTGCGAAGGAGTTCCGTGCGCACAAACCCTATGAGGGTGTTTTCAAAGTAAATGCACAATTTACATTTTGATTGTTATCACTTTCTGGTACATGTAGCTAATAAACCACTGTTTAACAGGGAAAATAAGTGATTTCCATACGTGGAACTCTTACCCATGATTTGTATGCTCAGTGACTGGCATGACTGGGCACTCTATACATGTACATTGTACCTGTACATGTACATGCATACGGGTGGACACTACAGTACTTCTGACATGTCTGAATACCAAAGGGCACCTCCATGTGCCTCTTTCCCTAGCCTGAGTAACAAGGACTCTATAAATCACTTCTTTGCATGGTCCGTGATAGTAGGGTTTCAGACCCTTCCATAGGCCTTGTGTGCCATCAATTGATTTGCACTCAAAAGAACTTGTACCCTGAATCGGAATCTGCAGATTTCACCTCCAAAATAGTCTTTAAACTGTCTAATACATGTACTTCCTTTGCAGGATTCTTTGGAATTGGAGATTCCAATGATGGTGGTAAAGTTTACTTTGTGGAGAAAAGAGAAATTTCCAATTCAAATTGGAAAAACTCTTGTCATCAGTGTTTTGTATTAAAAAAACAAGTAGAATATTTCCCTTCTACCATCCACTTCATTTTATGAGCTGAAATTTCACCTGTCCATGTATGCTCACTACCGAAAACATCAGAACATCTGCAGGTTGCTGAACTAGTTTGACAGCGCTTACTGAGCTACACTAAATCAGCAGTCATTTTGGATAAGTTGCATCCATTTCAGATGGCATGGTCAGCCTATCTGATATGAAATTTGTGTCCGAGTTTGCATTATTGCATTGTTTCGTTGCCTTTGAAAGAGCTCATTTTGCATGTGAAGTTGCCAACCTTTCCATCCCTGACACTACAAGTCCACTAACTGATTTTTTGGATTTTTGTTTCTCTATTTGATTTGGCTCTAGACTGTTCCTCTTGACTTGTCCAAATTGTCTGAGAAGGAAAGATGGAAGTAAGTTGATTTTTACATAATTCTACATCATGCACTATTGCAAGCTGTGCAAAGTGTGTTGCTCTTCAGCTCAATATCAGCATGTATGAAAGAGACATGGTGCTTTTCTGAAATATAAGCTCATATAAACTTATTTCTATGAAATTCAGGTTTTTCTCATATCAATTTTGACTACAACTGGGCATCTAAAGAAACTCAGTAACAACACAAGTACAAAATGGTTTGTCAGATCTTGCAGTTTGCAGGACTCGTTACTGAAAGATTGTTTAAGCTCATCCACAAAAGTTCACTAGGGGGCGTGCACAGCTGTTAACCACTTCCTGCCGATACAGTTATCAATGTTGATGATGCTGGACCGGGATATTTATCATTTTTTTCTGTTTTCAAAATTCTTTAAAAATTCTGTTTTCAAAATTCTTTAAAAATTCTGTTTTCAAAATTCTTTAAAAATTCCTGATTTCATTTACTGAACATTTACAAACACGTAAAGGACTGTCTGTTCCCTTTGTCCCAGTTCAGAGACCCCGGCCACGCATATAAATCATACGTGTCCGGATCGGGAATCCCCAGCAGGAAGTGGTTAAACTGGTTTGAACTGTGGTTGGAATCTAAACTTTATAAGCATATTGATGAATAGCCTGAGCCACCTAACGTTACACGTGTGTGGGATCTCTTCACAAGGATTGGGTAGCCCATCAAAACTAAGGGATTGAAGTCACCAACCGCCATATTTTGAGGCCCAAAGCTTATGCGCACTTAACTTGACATGTTAGTCACAGTGGGCTGCTCATGTGGACCAATTTTGGGAGCTATAAAGCAAATGTTCTTCCATCTTTAACCATGAATTATTCAGTTAGCATTTAAGTCTTCCTTGAGCAGAAGCACCCACCCACTGGTTGAAACGAGCCATGTTGGTCAGGAGTGTTCATTTTGCTGGTAGCCAGCATTCATCTCCCAGTCTTTTGTGCTTGCTACACATATCATGTAGCACACTCAAACCTCACTAAAAAGAGATCCTTCAGACACATTACCTTGTATGATCAGGAATGAACAAAGAAAATTTCTAGAATGTCA